GTATAAAAAGTATCGGGAAAAGTTCCGGGAAAATAGATTTATTTCAGATATTGCTACAATGCCTCAAAATTCTTCAAAATACATCCCTTGTACATCAATACACTTTTGCCAACAGCATTGCCAGGACACGAAGGCTCCCTGGTAGGCAGATTCCGGAAGGTCCTTAAGGGTCCGCGTGCAAGCCTCTTTGACGGCACTCAGGGTCCCATGACGGTGCCCTTTGAGGGAGGATTTCACTTTCGGGAACAGGAAAAAGTCTGCTGGTGCCAAGTTGGGACTGTAGGGGGGTTGGTGTACCGCCGCGATGCCGTTTTTTGTCAGGTAGTCGGTCACCTTGGAGCAGGTGTGACTGGGTGCATTGTCGTGATGCAATTTCCAATTTCCGGCGATGGCTGGCCTCACCCGATTGACCCTTCTCTTCATTCTTCTTAGCACTTCCAGGTAAAAAGCTCCATTCACTGTTTGCCCCTCAGGTACAAATTCGTAGTGGACCACCCCCTGGGCATCGAAGAAAACGATGAGCATGGTTTTCATTCTGGATTTGCTCATTCGCACCTTTTTTGGACGAGGTGATGCCGAAGTGTGCCATTCGGAACTTTGACGCTTTGTTTCCGGGTTGTACTCGAATATCCAACTTTCGTCTTCCATGATGACATTGTCCAGAAAGCCGGAGTCTTCCTCAACGCGTTGCAGAAGGTCTTCGCAAGCAACCACTCGTCTCTGCTTTTGGTCATCCGTCAAGACCTTCGGGACGAGTTTCGCGCAGACCTTTCACATCGCCAAATCTTCAGTGATAATGGTGTGCACCGTCATCTTATCAATGCCAACATGATCTGCAATCATGCGCACACTTAACCGACGGTCTAAATTGAGTACGTCATGCACATGTTGCACGTTGTCGTCGGTTCTTGACGTCGACAGCCGTCCACCGCGGGGCTCATCCTCCACACTCTGTCGGCCACTTCTGAAGAGCTTGTGCCACTTAAAAGCTGCAGTTTGTGACATGCTTTCATCCTTGAACACTTGGCGAATCATGCCCAACGTCTCCGTACCCAATTTCCCCAGTCCAACACAAAACTTGATGGCATACCTCTGTTCAATCGTTCGCTGCATTCTGCGCTTGCACAGACTCACTCGACAGGAGTCCACTCAAAACACGGCGTGGCCTCTACGAACGCGCTCAGGCGAATAGCGCTTGGCACGTGTTAAAGGTTAGACCCCACTACCACGCCTGCGCGGTGCGAGTGTGCTGCGGTGTACAGTCACGTAAGGGAAAGATTTTTCCCTGATACTTTTTATATGGACCTTGTATACAAAAAAAAAGACATACATACTTCAGCTATTTCCCAACGTAGTCACTGCCAGAAGTGAAGCGGTTGTCATGTTGAGATTAAGTTTTTGTATGCCTGTGTCAAAGAAGTCTGCCGCCTGTGAGCTCAGTCATGCTTTGACACATTCCATCAACTACTCATTATTGTTGAAGAGCTGTGATATCATAAAGTTCTTCAAGTAGGTAAACAGGAGGTAGTCGCTCGGAGCGAGATCAGGGCTGTTAGGAGAGGTGGTCAAACAACTCCCAGTTGAAATGCTCCAGCAGTGCTTGAGTTCGAGCAGCTGTATGTGGACACACACTGTCATGGAGGAGCACTACATCAGTACCAGCATTCCATGCGTTTTGTTCTGGATGACCCTACACAGATTTTTTAGTGTTCTGCAGCACGCTTCTGATGTTATTGTGGTCCCTCATTGCATGAATCCCACTATCAGCATTCCTTTCCTGTCCCAGAAAACAGTTGCCATCAGCTTTCTGGCAGACATTTGTTTAAACTTTTTCAGCATTTTGGTGAATGTGTGTGCATTCACTGCTTTGACTGCTCTTTGGTTTCAACGTTCAAAAATGATATCCTGGTTTCATCACCTGTTACTCATACAATGTGATTGAGAAATTCATCACAATCTTTGTGGTATTTCCCTAAAATGTCAAAGCCAAAGCCATTTTCTGCATTTTGTGTGCACCCATGGACATTTTCAAACCCATCTTGTGCAAAACTTGTGATAGCCTAGCCTAACTGTTACAATGTTGTAGAGAACAGTGCATTAAATCTGTGGAAATTCACACGAAAGTTCTGAAAATGTGAAGTGCCGTCTTTCACAAATCTTTTGATCAACATTTTGAACAAGAACATCACTCACTAAAGACAGCCAACCACTTTACTTTCCATCATGAACATCTGATCACCCATCTTTGAACATTCTACACCATTGTCTTAAACAGTGCCTTCACTTAAAACATTTTGGTCATAAACCGTGCCTAATTCACCATCAATTTCCACAGCATTCATGTTTTTTGCATGAAGAAAGCAATTGCAGGACATATCATGACACTACCTCACATGCACAAGCTCCACCCTGCTCCTACATTAGTTGCCTCAAACAAACAGGTTACTTTCCAAGCAGCCCTCACACATCTTCATTGAACAGAAGGAGGGGTTTGGGCATGCGTTAGTGCACATGCTAACACTTGCAACTGCACCCACTGATTTCAAGTTCACTCAATTCTGCTGAACAAGCCTAAGCCTGCACCCTGAAAGCAGACAGGCTGGTGCCAGGCTTACCACTAAACATTTGTGACATGTTGCGCAACGGAGAACCCCTCCCTACCCAGCAGCAACGTGGCAACTCAGGCCACAGTGACGTGGCGGATGAGTCAGTGCTCCCCTCCCCCCCTCCGCACGGTAACGTAACGCACAACGCGCGGTGACGTAAGACGGCGTGAGGTAACAGCGTTGCTACGTAACAGGCACACACAGCCACTACATAAGAGAGCTGCGCTGCCTGCGAGAAGAGTTGAAATGTGGCCATCGCTGAGTTCAGTAGTAGTCGAGCCAGTGTGTTATCAAGAGTTCTCAAGGCAGCAGCCTGCGAGTTGAGTTGGAATATAGCAGCCGTCGCGGAAAGAAGAACCGGACGTGTGTGTGATTGTGTAATTGGGAGCGTGTGATACAGTGATACATAGCTCCCCTACTGTAAACGTGTAGGCTACTGAAGACAGAGTGAATTGGTTTGTGATTAGTGTTATAAAGTGTGAAACCCCGCAACTGTGTGATAATTAATTGTAGCCGTTACTTGTAGGTTGTTGAATAAATCAATTAACGATCCGAACGGTGTCTTCAACAACCAAAACACGTTACACATTCAATGATATAGCACTGTCCAAGGTTCAAACGCGGGTTTTTAAATTAGCTATGCACTAGACTATAGATGCCATTTAAACACATTTTAATTAGCCTAACTAGCTTCATGGGTATGACCAAATGGAATGAGAATACTGTACAGTACTTCCCTCCTAACTGAATAATAGGCTTTCTTGAAGTCTATGAATATGGACTTACTCGTAAACTTCGCAGAAAAATATTGGATACAATTATATATAATGTTGATAACGATGATATGCCTCAATAGGTACTACAGTTACTTTAACACCCTTCTTGTAAGTCAGTATTATAACAGACACCTTCCACTGCTGATGCAATTCTTCCTCATTCCAGATAGAATTAAATGAGTTTAAAGAACCCAGAATATAATATTTTGACTCCTGCTTGAATCACTTCTGCAATTTTTTCAATACCTGGTAATTTACACCTTTTTCAACTTTTCAGCAGAAGTTTCAACATCAAAGGACTATGCTGAAGCACTATTGGCTCAGCTGTATCTGTTTCTATCTGCCAACATCACTAACATAGATTCAATGGCTAAGGGCAGTAATTCTTCCACGTATTCAAAACGTTGTAGGAATCTGATAATATATCACCTTTCTCTTCCTTAACGAAGTTAATGCTAGTCAGTAATTCTTCTTAAATCCAATTATACCTCTATATACGAGTAAGTCTCCAATATTCTTGTCCTTATTGTTTGTTGCAAGCTCATTAATTTTGTCTTTTGGATATTCCCTCTTTTTGTTCCTGAAATGTCTACGAGCTTCATGTCTTGCATTGTTCAGACTGTCTTAATTTATTTTGCTTTGATCCTGTAACCACTGCAGTTTGGGTTGTTTCCTTTAATCTAACAGCTCTTGAACATTCTTTGATGAACTATGGCTTATTCTGCATCAGTTTCTAATAACTGAGACTCTCTGACTGAAATGTTTATATTGTCTGTAATATTTTCAAGAAAATCTGTATCAGAATATCTCAGTGGTAAGCAAATCATGAGGGAAGAAGATCATTCACACTTTGCAGCAAGATTGTTGGAAGAACATGAATTTTTTGGGGTGGGGAGGGGAACATAATCAAACATCAGCATTTACATACTATTCATCATGAACTAAATATAAATGAGACCGCTATCATATCAAGTGGGGAACGCGGTAGCGTAGTAGGTTGAGGCACTATGCTACAAGCCGGAAGGTCACGGGTTCAAGTCCTGATGACGTCATTGGATTTTTTTCAATTGATCTAATCCTTCCAGTTGCACTATGGCCCTGGGGTCAACTCAGCCTCCAACAGAAATGAATACCAGGAATATTCTTGCGGGTAAAGGGTGGCCAGCACATAGGGCTGACAACCTTGCCGCCATCTATGAGCCAATTGTCTAGAAAATATGGGAACCTCAACATCTCACAGTCCTATGGGCCTCAACGGCCTGTTACAGGGTTACCTTTACTTTACTTTATCATATCTAGTGGAATGCAGTCAACAAAAACGACTCTGAAAGAAAGTATGAAATAACCAGCATGAATGTCTGATGAATGAAATCACTCACAAGGGAAGATGTCATCACAACAGCCAATAAACTAGAGGATACCAGGATACCAACTGTATGTTTAGATACAGGTTATTTAACTGATGAAATAGCACTTGATATTTTATATAACCTGAATTTGGCATTCCATTCAGTCTAAAGAGGTGCAACTTCAAATTAATTTGAAATTAAAGAACACATTCAAGTAAAAAAATTTTTTGATTTTAAAAACTATTAAGTACCAATCATTTTAACTATACCTTAGAACTCAGCAGCTTATGATTTATAAGACCAGGATTTCGTTTATTGGATGGTGATGTGTCCAGAACTTCTTCTATTGTTGTTTTGGTTGATACCTTAATTTTTGGACCTAATATTCCCTGAAACAATATTATGCATCAGCCACTTCCAATTGACAGTGATTATTAAAGTCCCTTAACTTGAGAATTCTTTAACTAATTAACTATCCCAAACTTACATACTTACATCCAATTGCAACATACAACAGTTACATAGCACAGTGCAACCTTGACATTATGAGTGTTATAAAACTCAAAAAAATGCTTGTTCTAACAATCATAATGTTCAAAAATGGTTGAAATATATAAGTACAAGTTTGTCACCTAACTTCCAATTACATGGACATGTCTGCTGAAAGCCAAAACTGCAGAACCAGAGCAGACATCTGTTGCTAGGCAATGGCTCTGTAAACACATTTCCATGACAACCAAATCACGTTACTGTTGCAACAAAGTCAAAGTCAAAGTCACATTGCGACAGACGGTCAGTCAGTCAGTAAAAATATTTATTACTGTTTGACAGTTACAGTCTTGCTATTGTGGGGCACCTTCTCTGACGAAAGGACAGGTCTGTCTTTTGTATACGCTCCTTGCCAGAGCAGTCTTTCTTGGATCTGAGTCCCTATGGACTCACGACCATATTTTACTGTCTCAGATTTGAGACTTCCCTTTTCATCACTCCGACGACTCACAGGGTCACGCTGGAGGTATTCGACCCCGCCTCCACACAGGTACGCTGCAACAGATACACATGCAACAGTAGAACTGTTGGAGGTGGTGTTCTCTGTTGGGTCTGTGCCAAGGCTATATACCAGGGACTAAACCTAATACTGTTAGGTCACATTTTAAGTGAATTTGAAATAGTGGATATAAAAATATTAATAAAGTCTCACTCTTTGGGCAAAGTTTGAAATAACGTGAATCCCCAAAATATGACAGTACAATTGTTCTGATGAGAAAACTTCTCTTGACTTATATGAGGTCTTCAGGAATGCATCCTTGTATATAATGTGACTGCACTGCAGTTAGTTTGTTCTGAGACAGGTCCTGAGTTGGGGGTGATAGCCTGCAGTAGCCAGTGGTGGTTAGGCAGCCAATGGTCAGCAGTTGTGGCCATGAGGAATTATGAGAGAGTCGGTAGCTGGTGACAATGTGAACATGGATGCTGAAGAATTTACAGTGTTGGAATCCATTACCCAGCATAGACAAGTGAAGATGTAAAGAGACTTAGTGTGTACTACATCATATTGTGGAATGTGTGAATTCACCAGTGCCCTAATTAAGTGTAGTTACAATCTGTAAAAGTCTAATAAATCCAATTACCAATTCAAACCCTGTATCTAGCCACTATCATGTGACAGTATAATATACTATGACACTAAGGTTTGAATACTAATGTGGGGGAATAATAATGAAAATAACTGAGAGTAATTCAACATTCTCACTGCTGTTAGCATTATCTGAACTGAAAAGTTCATACCTGCATCATGTCATATCGAACTCAAGTAAAAGACCAAAATGCAAAGCAGTTTAAATTTCACAACATAATTGGAATGCATATTACATTATGTATGTAAGAAACAGTTATAAACAGTCATACTTAGCTGCACAACAGTAAAATTCATGTCATGGTAGTGGCAGGTAAAGCATGAATAAGCCTATGACTGTTTATTTTTCAAACCTAATAAAATTAAATTTAAGTTACCATAGCCATAATAAAATAACTCTTTATAACATACATGGATAGCATCTGTACCATCTCTAGATCCCATGCTTATGTCATTTCACTTCATTGTGGTGATCACAGAATCACAAAACTGAGATCATGAAACAAATTTCACCAGTATGTGCTCATAAGGAACAATGTTAACAGTCGTTTTCACATGATATTTGGAGTTGTTCTGATATCTGTGGTTATGACAGTGTGAAATTTTTTGTGGGTGGCAAAGTTATTGAAGATGTCACCAAAGTTCAAACTGGATTTCATTCATGACATTAATCTAGATGTTGTGACATCCTGACTTTTTTAAGTTTTCATGGTGACATACATTATGACATTTGATATCATGACACAAATATGTATTGCCTTATGTGATGTGAAAATGAGCGTTCATGTTGCTTGGGTTTAGTAAATACCGTGGTTTCTTCTCTTTAGTATTATAAACAATGTGAAAATGACCCATCTCACCTTCCTATTTCACTTTTTGACAAGGTGCCAACTTCACGCATATTTTCATATTATTTCAAGCCTCATATTCAAGTGTAATCTCTTGCATTTCAATGCCATAACTAGGACTTTTAAAAATTGTGCAGTCAACACAAACGAGAATGCAGCAGATGTTTGATGGGGACAAAACCTTAAACATATGCATGCATAGTTGTATTCTGTGACATCATAGTCCAAGGTCAGTGGAAGCTCAGAGGGAGGGGAACGTATAGGACAAGGAAGCAAAGATACTCTGTAGTACCTCAATAAACAAGCCAAGCAACACAATGCACAATGGAAATATTCTGAGGAGGTTATATGATGTACATTCCCCAGTGGTTAAAATTTGTAGGGGGTATGCTGCTCTGAGATTTTGAAATCTGAACTTCCTCCTGGACAGAGAGTGTTAGCTAATAGACTGCTAGTTGTAAATATCTTCAGAAGTAAAACTGAAAGTATTGTTGGTGCAAATATTTCAGGAAAACAATGGTGAATAGTTACAAATCACTCATTATGACAAACATGCAGGAAAACAAAAACCCTGTTTTATGCAGTGGTTTCCATGTATGTAACATTAAGAAACTCACAGATACAATGGTTTATACTGCCATAATTAAATCTTTATTGTAAGATGCTCTCACTTAATTACAGTTTCACTGTATGTACATGCAAACTACACAAGCTCAGTTTGGATAAACTGGCTGTGTGTGTCAAAAGTAACAACTCATCCTTCGAGATTAACGAAGCTACCTCAGAAAATCAAATTTCAGACCATAAGTACAGGAACTACCACACTGTTTTATTAAAACAACAGTGAAACAACCATTTAAAACAGTTCAAATTTTGAACCATAAGAAGTTGTAATGTTAAAAATGTACATACTGCAGCTTACAGGAAAACATTTTCTTGGTTCCATGAGAAGATCTATATCCACACCTGCGATTAAACCCTTCACACATGGAGATGGGTATAGTAATTCAAGCACTGTTGTTTCAAATGATGCCAAAACGGCTCCACTGCCACCAGAACTTTGTATCAGCTCTGCATGTACAAACTCTTTGCCAAGGAGATGCTGCAGATCTGTTAGATAACGAACATTTGTGAAAGTCTGTAAAATAAATAATACAAATGGTGTATTAGCATAAAACTCAAAGGTGAGAAAAAGTTGCACACAAAGTGAGGAAGAATGCTGGCACAACAATCAGAGAAGCAACAAATTCAAAATACTACCTCTCATTTATTTTGCCAACTTCCACAGCAGAAGGGTGTAATTCTTATAGTACTATTTCCCTCACTGATTCTAATAAGCACTCTTCCCCTTCTTCACAGCCTGTCCTGTCTCATTTATGACTCACTTAATTGTCCTTTGTTCATGGTGTTTCAAGGGTAGGATACATTCCTTAATATTTCTTTAGTAAGTCTGGAGCACAGGATATGCCACTAACAAAAATTATGTAAGTTAGTTTTGCCTTTTCTTTAAGTTGTGATTTGAATTGCTTGACATGGCTTAAAGAATCATGATTAATGTGTTCAGCTGAGTCAGCTGTAAAGCCAGAAATTAATCAATTCTGAGTTCTTATAACAGCAAACTAGCTTACATGTAACATTTATACCAATTCATTTGCAGAATAAACTGCTCCACCTTTAAGAAAACGTTCCTCTGATTAATACAATTACATATGTACCTACAGTATGATCGGTCACCTACACATTTCAGCTAACAAATGACACAGTATCTTAACCACAAGTAAACAAATTGAATTGACTATGTCTTATGACAGGCCACTAAGGTCAACAGATCTCAGTGAACTAAATTTTCATCTGTGTGGTCACATTCAATTCACTGTATAGGAACAAAAATCAGAAATTAAAGATTAACTGATTTGTTGACTAATGGATTTTCCAAGATGCATAACTGATCTTGAAGTTCTTGGTAGGGTTTCACATTCAGTAGTCAGATTAATCATAATGTGTATTCAAGCTGAAGGTGGTCACTTTGAACATTTACTATAAACTCAGATGTATGCAATGTAAAAACCTGTTCAATACTGCAGCTTAGTCACATGTAAAACTGATAAACTTCAAATATTCTAGCCCAGCACTGGGACTCAGAGAGGACATTTCTGACCAAGCACGATATCAGAAATAAGCTCCTGTGCTTTTGATGTAAAGTTATGGAATGTCCTATATACAAAAGAATGCAGGGAGTAGAGCTCACACAGTAACACAATTTGTTACCGCTCTATGGCAAATAGAAAGAAACTGAAGTGTAACTGAAATAAACACAAAAGGACAGAGTAAAGCCATGAGTCACATGCATGACGGCTGTATTATTACTTTCCCTTGGAAAAGAACACCTTGGCCCCTTGCAGATTACATTATCAAATGTCTATCTGCTAATCCAATACGTCTGTGAACACTTGTTTTCTGTGTATTATTGTTTGCCCTCTATTTTAAGAGAATGTGTTCTGTTTAATTACACGGCTAAAATTCTTACAGTTTACCTTCTGAAAGACAAATTTTTGATGGTACAGCAAGGGAAAGATGGGTGGTAAATGAGGTGCTCTTGCTGAACTTCCAAACATAAAAAGTTTCAAAATGATTTTGCCATTTGGGCACAACCACACTCCTGGGCATGTCACCTTAAACAAAATAAAAAACATTAATATTACGATATAGGTGCATGTAGGCCAAGAGATCAACATTAAATGAATAAACAGTTGTAACATAAAACTTTGAAAATTATCTTCAGTTTTTGCATCCTGCTGTTTGCTAGAACTTAACTGTAATGGTTAACCATCTATGCAACAAATTCTAGGTAGTATATCAGCAAATACCAGCTAATTAGTCTTTATTCTGTTGCACTGTATATTTTTCCATATATTCACTTCCAGCTCCCATGCAGCTCACATTAAAAGTTCTAAAATTCAAAATTTAATTTTTAAAACTCTTAATTCTTGCACGTGCATGGAAAAATAGTCTTTAATTCTTACATGATATGTATTGATCATCAGTGATCATCATGGCGTTTTTTAAGAGATAAACACTAATTAACTGGTATCTGCTGATATACCACCTAGAATTTGTTGTGTAAAGAGTTAACCATTATAGTTAAACTTCAAGCATTATTCTTTAAGTACTCTGTTGGTGCATTAGCTAAAGCAGAAATAATTTTAATGGAACAGTTTTTTAATCTTTCTCCTTGGTAGAAAATTGAGTTTCATAGGTACTGTTTATTGAAAACACTGCTATATAAATAAAGGCATGAATCCTTTCCACAAGACAAATACTGTTGTGTATATAATCTTCAGTGATTACTAGGGATCGGATTTTAATGCAAATGCATATTTCTTTCTTGCAACCAGAAAGTATGCTCATTTGGATATATGTATGAATTACTTAATTTCTTAAATTTTGGACATGGTTTGACAGTGCATATAACTGCATATTTTGCCTGTTTTATGAATAAGCATCATATTTTCTAAGATCTCTATTTATACTGCATATTTCCTTTTTAAAATGTTTATCACATATATTTTTTAATTTTATGTTCAAATTTTCAATCATGGTCGTGTGTATACACTTTCAAGTGCTTCAGCATTTGAACACTAATATACGCAAAGAGAATATTAAAATTAAATCCATGAAAAGTGCTCCTGTTCAAAAATTGTGTAGTGAATTTTCTAATAATAGTTTTTCACAGTTTCCCTTTGATTTATGCGAAGCCTTTTTAGCGACAGATATTCTGCTGTGGAAACTAACCAATCCTACTCCGAGAAACTTCATAGAGAAGTATACACAGTGCAAAGTGCCGGATGAATCTACTGTGTGCAAAAATTACGTGAAGCAGTGTTACGATCTTACAACTGAAAGCATTAGAGATAAGATTCAAGATAATTTTGTGTGGTTATCAATCGATGAAACACAAGATTGTGAGGGACGGTTTATTACAAATTGTATAGTTGGATCCCTTAATAAGAATGAACACTCTACCCCATATCTTCTTGCAGTAGAGCAATTTGAAACCACAAATAGCTCTGCAGTTTCTGAATTTTTTATCAATTCCATGAATTTACTATGGCCAAATGGCATTTAGTATGAGCGCATATTGCTCTTTGTGACTGATGCCGCAAGTTATATGATGAAAGCCGGTACTGCTCTT